AATAGTGGTTCCGCCACTAAATAAGAGTGTAATAGAAATCGATTGTTGTTCAACAAATGAAAACATAAGATAAAAACCTTTTAATGTAACCACTTAACACAACAAAAAAAAAAAAACTTTTACACATCATAAATTGGTTGAAATCTCTATAAATGCAGATTGTCTTCCATTTATGATGAAAATGAAAAAAGTTAAAAAATGAATAAAGTTGTCTTCATGTGACCTATAAATTACGGGTTCGAACCATAAAATTCAGGGGCGTATGCAGGATTTGTGGTAAGCATTATCAAATTTTGAAAAAAAATATGAATAAATAAATAAATCACTATAACGAAAAGCAGTATCAATTTTTATATTTATACTCAATATTTTCATTTTGTATACTATCTATATATATATACATATTTAATAAAAATTCTGATGAAGCGGTGTCAAGTGATACCGCTTGCTGCAAAGTATATCCACCCCTGCTAGAATTAGTCATTAATGCTTGCATTAGAGTATGTTGCCTACAACCTACCTCTTAAGGTACATTCTTTTCTAAATCCTACGTAAATACGAAATGCTTTGCGTACCGAATTATGCTTAAATATTTTAAAACAAATTTAACTTACTTAAACGACTAATGTTTTTGACCAATTTGGTAGATGTTTAGACTAAATGTGTGAATTTTCACACTGCCACACCAGTCCAACGTACTTTAGCCTTCTGGAAGCTTATGCTTTCCTCATGTATTTAAACTTAATTTTTCTTCTCACGTTAGATCCACTCTATCACAAGACTTTTCACAAAAAAAATCTCAAAATCTTTCTCCCTTTCCCCCCCTCGTTTTCTCTCTGTTTTCTTGATTTCTTATTCATTTCTCAACAATGGAAAATTCCAATTTTTCATCTTCTTCAATGGAAAAAGTGAATTTCAGAACAAAAATTCTAAGCAGACACTTAAACCAAGAAAACCCAACACCCATTAATTCAATACTCCAATCTTTCCCATGTCTGAGCTACAACCCACCTGAATTTTCAGAACCATCTTCTGTTTTTGACACAAAAGAAATGAGAAAACTTATGGATGGTCATAATTTGCAAGAAAGAGACTGGCTATTTGGTCTAATGTTGCAAAGTAATCTTTTTAACCCAAAATTAAGAGGTGGTAAAGTATTTGTTCAACCTGATTATAACCAATCTAAAGAACAACAAAGGGAAATTACTATGAGGAGAATTGGCTATCTTATGCAAAATGGTGTTTTTGAAAGGTGGCTAACTGGTAAAGGACCTGAAGATGAGTTTAGGAAATTGGCTCTAGTGGATGTGGTTGGAATATTTGATCATTCTCTTGCTATCAAGATTGGTGTCCATTTTTTCCTATGGTATGTTTCTCAATTTTTTATTGGTGATAAATTCAAAAATATTTACCCATTAGGTAACTATAAGTAAATTTCTTTGATAAACATTTAAGAAATAAGCTAAAACAAGTAACTAATCAGCTCTCACATGTTGAAATTTAGTAAGTGAAGGGTAAAAAAGTCATTACACTTGTATATATGACTTCAAATCTTTTTTTTTTTTTTGGATTAGTTGGGGTCAGATATATGAATTGACTTATTATTTTAGAATAAGAATAAGAAAAACCTAAATATATTAAATTGCCACTAGGGACAATCTTGATTGGTTTGGTTGCATTACATAACTTGTTATACTTAGTCTCTCATGTAAGCAATTTTTTTTTTTTTTTAATCTTCTATCATAAGTTGTTCAGAACCCATCATATAAATCTCGGTAGGAAAGGTTTTAATTAGAGTCGGAACCAAAATTTAAATTTATGAGGTCGAGATTTTAGTCCTTTAAATTACTGGATTCTAAGTTAAGAATTTATAAATATTTAATAAATTTTTAAAGCTAAATACAATTGAACAAAGCTACTGGGTTCGGCCGAAACTGCGTATGAAGCAGGGGCGAATTTTGGGAGCGGAAGGAGGTTCACCTGAAGCCCCTTTGCCGGTGGCGGAGCCACCTTATAAGAAGGGGTGTCAAATGACACCCCTTCGCGGGAAAAATACCTGTGTAGGTAGGTAAAAAAAATATATGTACATATATTATATATTAAGAGCCCGTTTGGCTTAGCTGATTTAGAGTAGCTGATAAGCTTAGGTGCTGAAAAGCACTTTTAAGTGCTGAAACTGATTTAAAAAATAAGCAGTTACGTGTTTGGATAAAAGTGCTGAAATTAATAATATGTAGCTAAAGAACCGGGCATATGAAGAGTTTTGTTTTAAAAAGAAGTATTTTAGGGATAGAACCGTAAATATTTTGGTCAAACTTAAACTGCTTATAAGCTGAAATTTGATAAGTTGGGGGAGACCAACTTATGGCTTTTGGCTTATAAGCACTTAACTTATAAGCACTTTTAATTTTACCAAACGCGTAGATAAGCCAAAAAGTGCTTATCAGCCAGTTTGACCAGCTTATAAGCTTAGCCAAACACCCTCTAACTCCCCTTGATTTTCTGATATGTTTACTTTTATATATTTTGACACCTCTTAATGAAAATTTTGGATCCGCCACTGCCCTTCGCCAAGAAAATTACTCTGTACGTATAAGGCGAAATTTTGGTTTGTACCTCTATATTTTATTTTTTGAATCACCTTAACACAAACCGAAAGTGTAGCTTAGTGGTTAAGGGAGTTCAAAATTGTAATGTCGTTGATTCAATTCCTATCAGCCATAATTCTTTTTTAATTTCTAATTTTTTCTTTTTTTAAACTCTTAGCGAAAATTCTGCCTTCCACACTGGTACCAAACTCTAGCTCCACGCCCTGGTTTTAATGCCTCCTTATTTAAGAGGTTTTTTGGTAGTAGGTAAACAGAATATCATTCTCATTTTAGGTTGATTCATTCAATGGTAAGATAAAGTGATAAAACCAATCTTGGAAAAATATAGAATAAAGAAGAGATAGAGATTACAAAAAATACTCATCTGATTACACATATGCCAATAAAAGATAGAAACTGTCAGTAATGTTCAATGGCCCATCACATGGGAGAAATTATAATTTCTTGTTAAAGCCCTTTACAATCTTAAAAATAATTTGATATTTAAATACTTTCCCAAAACAAAAAGTAGATACGTCCAACATAGGTTGCCAAATTAAACAACTCACTCTATTGCATTTTTTGGTACTCCCTCCATCTCATTTTGTATTCGGATTTCGAAAATCTAACGAGTTATTCTTTGACCGTTATTTTTCATGTTAAATATTTGAATTATTAATTTTGTAACTTATAGTAGTACTTTTTTGTGTAGTTATTGAATATATATATTTTATTTCAGAAACTTTAAAGATTCTATGTTCAAATACACAATCAAAATTAAATAGTTTGAATCTCGAAAAACAAAAAATATCACATAAAATTGGGACAAATGGGGTAAGTAGATAAACACCTTTTAGAACTTGTACAAAGGAAATAGATCAGTTGGATCCTACCTCAACAGATTTCATAACTAAATATATCAGAACATTTCATAACTATAATATTGTAAGAATCCAACATTAATTGCATTTCCTTAAATGTTCTCTTTTTCTTCTCAGTTTTCTTGATTTCCTATACAATTAATCATCTATTCAAATCATTCAACAAAATGAAAAATTCCCATTTTTCATCTTCTTCAATGGAGACAGTGAACTTTAGAACAAAAGTCATTAGCAAACACCTAAACCAAGAAAATCCAACATTCAATTATTCATTACTCCAATCTTTCCCATGTCTCAGTTACAATCCACCTGAATTTTCAGAACCATCTTCTGTTTTTGACATAAAAGAAATGAGAAAACTTTTAGATGGTTATAATTTGCAAGAAAGGGACTGGCTTTTTGGTCTAATGTTGCAAAGTAATCTTTTTAACTCAAAAATAAGGGGTGGCAAAGTATTTGTTCAACCTGACTATAACCAATCTAAGGAACAGCAAAGGGAAATTACTATGAGGAGAATTGGCTATCTTTTGCAAAATGGTGTTTTTGAAAGGTGGCTAACTGGTAAAGGACCTGAAGATGAGTTGAGGAAATTTGATTTTGTAGATGTTATTGGCATCTTTGATCATTCTCTTAAAATCAAGATCGGCGTCCATTTTTTCTTATGGTATGTTTATTTCCTAAGGGGTCGTTTGGTAGGTGGGATAAGGAATAATAATCTCGAAATTAGATGCAGGATTATTTTATCCCGTGTTTGGTTGAATTTTTTTTTCTAGTCTTAGCAATCTTGGAATTAATTAATTTCACAACTGGATATTATTCTATCCCCATTGAGGGTGAGATAATAATCTCGGGTTAATTAATCCCGAGATAAACACTAAAATAACAAAGATGCCCTTCTTCAAGGCTCTTCCAATAAAAAAATGTTTACTAAATAATTCATGTATTATAATCCCATCATTATAATCCCAGAATAACTTTTCCCGTAGAACATGTATTATAAATTGTGAGTCTTTAAGGGCCATTTGGTTCAAGGGATTAAGTGTGTAGTAAGTAAATTTTGTACTCCCTCCGTTCACTTTTAGTTGTCCACTTTGGATTTTTGACGTCCCTTAAGAAATAATAAACGAAACACTGTACTTATTGAAGCACTAAGGATATATTTGAAAAATAAAGTAATAAATCATTGCTTGTTTTCGTCAAATGTAGCCAAAATGACTAATAGGACTTGAGAGATTACCAAAATGAAAAGAAAAAAAAAGTTACTCCCGCACAGTGATTTCATCAAACTAATAAATACATGACATGTTTTTATCATTTTATACATTTTATCATTTAATTATGATTAATAATTATCTATTCTCACATTAGTTTATCATTTATCCATGATAACTGTATGTGGTTTAATGTAAACATGAATGTAATAACTTTAAGTCTTTTCCGTACTAAGATTCTCTATACTAAGTATAATAGTAATATCTTAACCATTAAATTAATTTGACTTTAGGACCAATTAGGCAGACATTTAGACTTCACACTACCATACTCATATTTGAACCTTATAACTCAAGATCCACTATTTTCTCACGAAACTTCTCTTCAAATTCAATTATACAGTTTGCAAATTCCTCTTCTTTTTTCATCAGTTTCTTGATTTCTTAACAATGGAAAATTCCCATTTTTCTTCATCATCATCTTATTCTTCTTCAATGGAAAAAGTGAATTTCAGAACAAAAGTCCTTAGCAGACACCTAAACCAAGAAAATCCAACACCAAATTCAATACTCCAATCATTCCCATGTCTCAGTTACAACCCACCTGAATTTTCAGAAACATTTGCTGTTTTTGACATAAAAGAAATGAGAAAACTTTTGGATGATCATAATTTAGAGGACAAGGACTGGCTTTTTGGTTTAATGTTACAAAGCAATCTTTTTAATCCAAAAATACGGGGTGGTAAAGTATTTGTTTGCCCTGACTATAACCAATCAAAAGAACAGCAAAGGGAAATTACTATGAGGAGAATTGAGTATCTTCTTGAACATGGTGTTTTTAAAGGTTGGCTTACTGGTAATGGACCAGACGATGAGTTGAGGAAACTTGCTTTTATTGATGTTGTTAGCATCTTTGATCATTCTCTTTCTGTCAAAATCGGCGTCCATTTTTTCTTATGGTATGTTTCGTTAAGAGCGATTAGTTGATCACAACTTAGTTTTAGTATTGCAAACTATGGACCATGTTCAATCTTTTAGTAAATCTTTTACACACAATTATTTTCTTCCACATATACTCTAGTTGCCTGATTTTGTTAGTTGCGACGCATATAATAAGTTCTTCTTTATACCTAGGACGTGGTAATTCCGAAGTTGTACTTGTCATGAGCTGTTACAAGCAGTGGCAGAGCCATGATTTTTATTGAGGGATATCAATATATAAAGTAAGTAAATCCCTGAAGAAGCTAAGGGGCCACTGGTAACAAGGCACGAAAGTCTTGCTAATGTGAGTATTGGCATTCTTGAATTATCGCCGTCACCACTCGATCGCCCTTATATTCGCTCCTGTTGATCAGTTTTTTTTCTCATCACTAGTCATGTGATATGGAACACCTGAATGAACAATCCAATCATGTTCATAATTGACTAGTATCTCACTTACAGTTGCAAGTGATTGTGCCTTTTCTGGTTCGGCAAAGTGAGAGGTGACAGTCTCTTCCTGTCAATTGCTTTCTTTAACTGCTTAAGAGGTCCCAAATTCCCAATCTTCTCCCTTATATTGATTATTTGGGTAGAAGTGGTTGTGTTACAATTAACTTTCTTTAACGATAGCCTCTGTCGTAGTGTCCTTTCTTCCCACAATTTTAACACTTATCCCCGATTGTTGAAGCATTGATTTGCCTGCTTGTTGGCTCGCTGGCTTCATTTATGTTGATTCTCTGTCCTCTCCTTGGTTGTGAGGTTGTTTCCTCATCCCTTTTTCTGTAGCTTTGTTTGTTGATTGATCAACCATTTCTTCTGTCTTGAAATTTATAGTTTTGCCTTTTTACTGAGGAGCATTTTCTTCATCTTATATAAAAAGGCTTGTAATGACTTCTCCAAGTCTCTTCATTTGCTGATTCTAATTCAGATAAAGATGATTCTGTGACCCACCCGTGTGTGGCTGTGACCATGACTTTATGCTCTGGCCTCAAACCAGGAATGATAATTCTCTTCATCCTTGTGATAGCATTATCTAAATCCAGTTTTGGTATATCATCACATAAAGTATTTAACATTCGAGTAATGTTGACTAATCGTCATGTGCTGTTGCGAGATTGACAAAAGCTCATTTTCAAGCCTTCGTAATTTCGCATGTTTTTCTTCGTACAAATGGTCGCAAGTGTGTCCTAAGCTTCTTATCCGCTGCTAGAATCCATCTTCGATCATTGTAGTGAGAACATACATAGCCTTTACGTCTTAACTCTCACTTTCACTCTTTTTTCTTTTATTTTTCTCTCTCACTTCCACTCTTTCTTACACGCTTTTGTTCTCACACTTTGTTGCACACTGACAACTGGAATGACCACCTCTATTTATAGGTGGTCATGGGAGGATCTAGTGGAGGTACTATTCTAGAATTACACCACTCATATTTAGAGTACTTCTAGGCTTCTCAGTCCAGAATTCTCATTCTAGAGTTCTTCAATTCTATCAATTCACTGAATATCTTAGATTCTCCTTTGAAATATATTAAATATCGAGTTGGTGGTGTCCTTTTAACATGTTTGTCTAGTGTGTCACAATCTATTCGCACTTTTATGTTTCCTTTTTCTGACTGATGAATTATACTACCTTGGTTGTTGCTATGTATTCCGAATTAGTTGAGACAGCTACATGAATCCTCTGTATCTATTTAAGAGACTCATCATAATTGGACCATTTTTCCCAGTCATCAACCTACAGTAAAAAGGTAAATGTGGAAAAAGAATAAGAAACACCTAAGTAGACCTTGGAATATCTGGTGCAGACGATCTTGTTTGGTCACATGCATTGGACTCTTTTTGTGTTGGTCGTCAACCGAATGCAAGAAACAGATAATTTTGGAATAAGAATAAGAACTGAAAAACCATAGTAGGTAAATTTCTCGTAGGGACAATCTTGATTTGTTGGTTATTCTGCATAACTTAGAATTCCAGGTAACCGGAATATCATTGAGCTTTTTGGTGTATTGATTCAGGGGTGGTGCAATCAAGTTTTTTGGTACCCAACGACATCATGATAAGTGGTTGAGGGACACAGAGAATTACGTGGTTAAGGGTTGCTTTGCTATGACAGAGTTGGGACATGGAAGTAATGTAGGTGAAGGTTCTTTAATTATATACGACTTTATTCGGCAAATGATTGTTCATTGGCTCTGTAATTCTAACTGAATTCCTTTGCAATTACTGTTCAGGTTCGAGGTATTGAAACAGTCACAACCTATGATTCAAGCACAGGAGAGTTTGTAATAAACACTCCATGTGAATCAGCTCAGAAGTATTGGATTGGCGGTGCAGCTAATGTAACTACACTACCCTCTTCTCGAAAGCCGTTCGGCGTGTTTATTTGACTGGTGTTTTTAGTTTGTCTACTTATTAATTTTTCTAAATTGACATCATTTCTCTTGACCGTATTGTAGCATGCAACGCATACAGTAGTTTTCTCTCAGCTACACATTGACGGAAAAAATCAAGGTGTCCATGCTTTTATCGCGCAAATCAGAGATGCAAATGGCAACATTTGTCCAAACATACGTATAGCTGATTGCGGTCACAAGATTGGCTTGAATGGGGTTGACAATGGCAGAATCTGGTAAAGATGAGCTGTACTTGAACTTAGCTTTAAGTACAGTGAAACTGTATTAAAATTCATTTTGGCGGTTAGGAGCTAAGCACTTAGTGAAATTGCATTTTCCAGGTTTGACAATGTCCGGGTACCCAGAGAAAATTTGTTAAATTCAGTGGCGGATGTTTCTCCAGATGGGAAATATCTTACTGCTATTAAGGACCCCGACCAGGTAAACTTAATTCATTTTAGGCAATGATTCGCAGCTTTTTTTGTCGTGCTAATCATAATATGGATATCTTTATCTATTAGTGATTCTTTATGATCTATAGTAGGAAAAGGTTACAGTTTTGAAAGCTCGTCAAGAAATGTTGATGAGAAAGATAATGCATCAGTTTGTAATCTGAGACTCGGTGACTAAATCTGTTGCAGCTTTAAGCTCCTCTTGCCTTGCCTTTTCCGTCATCAATGTTATATTATTTGAATTTTGGGATGTTTTGGAAAATGTTCGGTAGCTAACCAACTTTTAACAATTTTGTTCTCAGAGATTTGCAGCATTTATGGCCCCTTTGACATCTGGTCGTGTGACAATCGCAGTTAGTGCAACTTACTCAGCAAAGGTATGACAAGCAACAATTGCTTCTGCTCAAACATTTTGTTTGTCAGTCATACGCTACCCAAAAAAATATTTTCGTGGCGTCTTATCTTCTTGTCCTGCTTGGTCAGATTGGTTTGGCGACTGCATTAAGATACTCGCTGACAAGGAGAGCATTTTCAGTTACTCCTAATGGACCAGAAGTTCTTATACTCGATTATCCAAGTCATCAACGACGACTTCTTCCTCTTCTTGCAAAAACGTAAATGCTCACCGAATTGCACTAATTTCCTATTCTACCATGGATTAATCTCTTCATGTTCATGAGAAATCGAAAGACATGCATTCGTACTATCATTCTTTAGTTTATGGTTTTCCCCCTTTGTTTTGTTTCTGTCAACATGAGATACATCGATAAAATAACCCAAAACTATTTATTCTTTTCTCTTGTAAACTGGTGTTAACCTTTCTAATGTCCATATTTTTTCGCTCCGCAGTTAACTTTCTGGTTATAAGTTGTGTGCAAATTCTTCTATCTCTGCTAGTTGACACTTGTTTTATCATGAGCTTTTTCATAATGTGGTCCGCATTTACAGATATGCTATGAGCTTTGCTTCTAACTACTTGAAAAAGATTTATGTCAAGAGGACACCTGAGATGAACAAAGTTATTCATGTTATTTCAAGTGCATTCAAAGCTACGGCAAGTTGGCATAACATGCGAACTCTTCAGGTAGTATGCACAAGAAAACTTGGATTGTTACCGATTTAACTTTGTTCCAGACTCCAAAAAATTTTTATATGTTGAATCAGGAATGTCGTGAAGCCTGTGGAGGCCAAGGGTTGAAGACTGAAAATCGGGTTGGCCAGCTGAAAGGTGAATTTGATGTGCAGTCTACTTTCGAGGGTGACAACAATGTTCTTATGCAACAGGTATGGTTAAAATGCTACTATTTGTTTTACAAAGTATTTTTCATATGTAGTCTCTTCTGAGTCGGATAAAATAGAATTGGTAACATTTTGCTAGCATGAATCTTCTTTAACACACTCGCGTGCACATGTGGTTCTTGACTTTAAAAGTTGAAGATCATAGATACATAAGCCGCTGGGTCGCACGACCGAAGAACGCCCAACATAAAGGTGCACACTGCTCAACAACAACAACAACATACCCAATAAAATCTCACTAGTGGGGTCTGGGGAGAGTAGAGTGTACGCAGACCTTACCCCTACCCCGAAAAGGATAGAGAAAAGGTGCACACTGCTCCATGTGAAATATTCATCTTCATAGGAGCTTTTTGATAGTAGTCGTGTCCAACAGCCATCAGCTCTCGGCTTGTTGGTAAATTGAGAGCTTCAAGCCCTGATTTGTGGTGGTGCACCCTCCACAAGTGCGGCCCGACTAAGGGGAGACGGGGATAACTACAGGCCCAAAACCTTTTACCCATCTTTCTCAATCAATGGGGGTGCCTGGTGCACCTCATCTTCTCATTTCTCGTTGCTCATTCCCGTTAGGCCAAAGTGTTTGGCCTTTCCTTCTTTTCAGCATTAGGTGCAAGGAGAAATTTCACTCGTTTTCTTATCTCATTGCAATAGAAGGTTATATCATTAATTGATTTAGCTCAATAACTCTACACACTCTGCACCTACTCTTCGCATTAATTAATGGATCTTGAGAGTGCATAAGGATATCTCGAAAATGTGTTTATTGTTGATCTTTACATAGCCACCGTGTAACTTTGATGTTCAATGGGAAACTTATAATGGCAGGTTAGCAAGGCACTTCTTGGGGAATATGTGACAGCCAAAAGGAGTAAGAAGCCGTTCAAAGGATTGGGATTAGAACACATGAACGACTCTCGTCCCGTCGTACCTTCACAACTCACAAGTTCCACAATGAGGCAAGCCCAGTTCCAGGTAACGAAGCTTTTGTTTCTTTTTCATTTTAGATGAATAATTTAGCAGGTCAGTAGTTTTGACTGCCTTTCTTTCCAGAACGACATATTCTGCCTACGAGAACGAGACCTGTTGGAACGTTTTGCTGCTGAAATTTCATTATGCCAGTCACAGGGAAAAAGCAAAGAATATGCTTTTACTTTGGTAAGCGTACTCTTTCTTTTGCTCTTCTCTTAATCCCATTTGTATTGGGTGCTTGCATATAACAAATCGGTTTATTTTTTTCCCCTTCACAGGATTATCAGCTCGCTGAAGACCTTGGGAGAGCCTTCTCAGACCGAGCAGTTCTGCATACTTTCCTCGAGGCAGAGGCATCTGTCACATCTGGCCCCCTTAAGGTACTGAACAAATGTCTTCTAGTTCATTTTTATAATGATACCAGAGTAATGTTCTACGTGGATGTGAATGTGAAAATGGAATAGTCCGTAGACACAAAAATAATTAACTATGGAGGTAGGACAAGTAGACTTAGTAATGAAAACAATCAGAGTGTTGCTTTGAGCGCATAAACTAATCTCCCTCTGTCCCAATTTATGTAGCATCGTCTGACTAGGCACGGAGTTTAAGAAGAAAAAAAAAAGATTTTTGAAACTTGTGGTCTAAAACAAGTCTTAGATATTTGTGTGGTTATAAATCATCTCATTAAGGATAAAAGTGGAATTTAAAGTTAATTCTTTCTTAGTAAAGAAAGATGACATTCTTTTTGGACAGACTAAAAAGGAAAGAGTGCCACATAAATTAGGATAGAGGGAGTATAAAATATGAGATTGAGTTTTCAAATGTTATGCAAATGAAATTTATCGTGGCTTTTTAAAGTTTAAGCAATAGTAGTTGGCAAGACTTGAAAAACATGTCGTGTGCAACTGTGGTGTGGTTTTCTCTTGCAGAATATTTTGGGTCTCGTGAGATCGATGTATGTTTTGGCCACGCTAGAAGAGGATGCTGCATTCCTCCGATACGGATACTTGTCAACGGACAATGCTGCCGCAGTGAGAAAAGAAGTTGCGAATCTCTGCAGTGAACTAAGGCCACATGCACTTTCCTTGGTCAGTTCTTTCGGCATACCCGATGCTTTCTTGGGCCCTATAGCTTTCAATTGGGTTGAAGCCAATGTTTGGTCTTCTGAACAAAACTAGCTCGCTACACATACAAACTACAGGGAGTAAAGATTGTCACAACCATGGTCTATTCTTGCAAAGTGCTTGCCATGAATAACTCTTTAATGTTGCATTGTTTTTCAAAGAATTAAGTATATTTCGACTTTTCTGTTGCATCATTAAAGGATAGATACTTTTTTTTTCGTCAAAGGATGGATACTTTTACTCATAAACAAAGTGTTGTTTGATCCACTGGTATGTTACATATGGTCTCTCTATCTCTCTGTATGTGATTTTTGTTCAGTCAAAGGACGGATGCTGTTACTCATAAACAAAGTGTTGTTTAATGAGTACATTAAGTCGAGGGTCTATCGCAAATAACCTCTCTACCTGCATAAAGTAGGGGTAAGGTTGCGTACATACTACCCCCTGTTCTGGGATTACACTGGGTTTGTTGTTGTTGTAAACAAAGAGTTGTTTGATCCACTGGTATGTTATAGATGCTCTGTGTTGTGCACACACGCGCACGTATTCGCCTGTGTAGTTGGGAATACGACGTGTTTAAGCGCACACATGCGCACGTGTTCGCCTGTGTAGTTGGGAATGCGTTTAACATTCTCATTAAGATTTCTTGTCATTTGAATGAAACTGCATTTGCCTTGTTAAGTACCAAGGATGTGTATATTTGCATTTGCCTTTTTCTGTGTCATAAGAAAATTTTGGTAGGTATTTGGGGATTAAATCTGGTGGTTGGGTTGTTATTGTATTGTTTTGAGTATTTTGGGTTGCTTTGGGCTGCCAGAAGAGGTGGACAGGGGTGGAGTCCAGTAGCTTTTGCTTAGACGTAGTATTTTATATTAGAAAATTCATTAAATATATATTATTTAATTACAAATCTAGTAACTACACGAGCTATGTTGCCAACATAGCTAGTGTACCATATGTTTTTTTTTTTTTTTTTTTTTTTTTTTTTTTTTTTTTTCTCATCCGGTTCAAGTCGGAAAATTCTAAATTGAGGGGTAATGTATTCCCTAACAAAGACGACTAAATATTCAGGGTTTAAATCCAAGATCTCTGATTAAAAAAGAAAGAGTACTTACCGTTACTACACATGTTAGAGATGAGGTGAATGTTCAACAACTATTTTGAGTTGGTGGAATTTTGAACACCAAAATACTTCCTTTGTTGTTCTTTATTGGGGCTGTCCTTTGTTGACATAGAGTCTCGTTTGGATCGGCTTATTTTAATTGTTTTTCAACTAAAATAGTTTTTAAATTATTTTGTAGTCTTTGAATAAAGTAAAAAAATATTTTTTAAGCTAAAATAATAAAAATAAGCTAAAAGTCAAAAGTTAAAATTCTTAATTTATGGCTTATGCTTAAAAATTATTTAAAATAAACTTATCCAAACGGGGTTCATAGTCACGTGGAGGCAATGTTCTTGAGCATAAATATCCTAAACTGAGTTCTGCAGACAGTTAGAATGGAAATTAAAACATGATTGTCACTGGAAACTTATAAATTGCCAATCATATATTTGAAAATTACTTGCTATTAACCTGCGGATTAGGGATTAGGGGTGTTCAAAGAAAACCGACAAATCGAATTAAACCTAATCAGAGTCAAGCCGAGAAAAAAAAATTCGATTATGGTTCGCTTTGATTTGGTTTTGTGTTGGGAAAAAAAAACTTGACAATAATTGGTTTGGTTTGATTTTAACAAAAAAAAGTCAAATCGAAATCAAACTAACCCGAAATTTTGAATATATTTAATACATAAAAATACTTATTATAATATAATTTATAAATATTTCTTGAAAATTTTTCATAATTTAATCTTTTAACGTGTTAATTCAAGTTTGGACTTAAATTTTTTGAATGCTCTAATAAATTTTATAGCCCTTAAATGTTAGTAACTTAAATAATGTTAACAAAAGTTCAAACCAAAATCAAATCAATACTATTGCTAATAAAAGATATTCAATTTAATACTAGGAATGATAGTGTTTGGATATCTATTTTTTTTTAGTGTTGCAAGATTTAGATAAAAATGCATAGCCTATTTTTATTTTCCTATTAGTCATGTAATTAAAGTACTTTTTAGTCGTACTTATTTTAGCATGACCTAGTACTTTTAGATTATATTTATTTTTGTTATGGCTTATTAATTAGCAAATATTTATTTTATACGATTTTATTATCTATATTGTTGAATATTTTAGGATAATGACATGACATATCTCATATTTTGAATTATTTTCTGGAGAAACACCTCATATAGTTGTATCTTATTAGGATTAAAGAAATATTTAGAGCACAAGTTATATGTTTTGTGCTATGAAGACTTTACCAAGAATTTAATTTGGTCATAGATTTAATAATCCTACAAATTTGGTTTGATTTGGTAATTAAAAAACTCAAACCAACCCAACCTATATACACTCTTACATGGGATGCTCGTGGTGACAAGTGTTTGCTCTAGCAAAATAATCTAGGTGTAGAAAGTACGGAGATGAGATTTTTACTCAGGAAATTCGAGAAAAAAAGTGAAAACGCGTAAAAGCTAAGGGAATTAAACCTCTAATATATATACATTAAAAAAAAAAATCCTGTCTAATTTGTCACGTTCACGTATAGGGTAATATGATAGCAGAGTACCGTTGTCACTTTTACTGGAAAAAAAACTTGACTCAATAATCTAAACTTAGAGAAAAAGTAATAGTGTAAATACTTGAACGAATATGGTGTACCAAATATGTATAAAAATTTATTAAAATTATCACAAATAATAAATATTAACTCATTTTTTCATCTTCAACATGAATAAACTTAATAGCTGCACTCATAAAGTTTATTAAATTTTGAATCTATCGGACGTCTCATTCAGGATAAGCATCAAATGCGTACCTAACGTACTCAATATGATTTGACTATACTAGCACTGATAGTCTTTTCTTTTCTGTATTTTTCATCTATGAGTTGTAAAAGACATGAAGGGGCGTTACAATAATAATGTTTGACTCAAAAGTTGTTTAACACTTTTTAAGCAAATCAATCAAATAGATGAAGGGGTAAATCGTAATCAAATATAATAGACCTAGAGATGAAAAATAAAGTTGTTGTTGTAGATCTAATAGTGTAAAATGATAATATGAACTCAAGAGAAAGTATTCGTTAGAGATAGAGATAGAGAGAGAGAGTAGGAGAAAATGAGAGAGTTGTATTATTCAAGAATCCCCCCCCCCCCCCCCCTACAATGTGAAGATCTCCCTTATATAGTAGGATACCTTCTTCGAAATAATCAAAAAGATACAAAAATAGGTAATGTTTTCCTAGTGAAGACACTGAATCTTAAACGGTGTCGCTTTTGTCCCCGCGTCCAAGTCGTACCCTTACGTTAGTTAACGTATACTCACTGGGCGTACCCATTGGCGTAGAGATGTTAACGGTCAAATTTGACCCTATACAGTTAGTCCCTCCGTTCGTTGGAGACACATTCGGTAGGCGTCTTCAATGGGCGGAAATGCAAACTTCGTCTTAGGAGAATTTGACCTCGACCTGGGGCGGACGCGTGGCTTCCTTTTCGGAATGATGTCATCGCCTGTATGCGTCACTATTATACTTACTCCCGAGGCGGTTCAGAGGATGATGTGACATTTTGGTTTCCCGCGCACGTTTGAATCATGACTCTTCGATTTCTGCGCAACCTAACCCTATAAATGGGGGGAGGTTTAATCCGATTCATCTTTCGAACCTTTGGAAAACATTTTCTGGTTTACTTCTTTGCCTTTCTTTCTTGTAACCGTTATTTCGTGTGAGACTCCTCCACTTCTTTGAAGTCATATTTCTCGTCGTTAGTGCCTTATTTCCCCAACAGAATCATCATGGTAAAACGTCGTCAAGGTGGTAAAAAGACCAAGGACACTGACCCATCTAGGGTTCCGCCTTCCTCTGGCGGTGAGGAGGAGGAAGTGAAAAAGACCCTCGTTCCCCTTACTGTAGACAACGTCCTCCCAAAGGAAATGCATATTCGAAAGGATTTTCAGACGAAAAGTCCAGTCCTTCCCTGGGAGCATAGTGATTTATTGCAATCTCACCTAGACAAACTTCGAGCAACACACAACATTCCGGACCATGTGGAAATGGCTCCGGCTGGGAGGGACTATGCCAACGTGCACAGGCCTGGGTACTGCACATTTTACGAGTACCCGTTTTTGATCGGTTATAGTCTCCCGATTTACCCTCTAGCGGAGGAGCTTTGCCGTTTTTTCAATGTGTGTCCGGCTCAGCTTACTCCTTACACCTTGAAGGTGTGCAGGATTCTGACCACGTACACAGCTAAGGCTGAGTGCGGCGTCTCAGTTCATCATCTTTTACAGTTATTCAGCCCTGGTTACCTGAGGGGTACCATGTTGCAATTGAAAAGCCGTGGCACGAAGGGTTTGGTAGTTAAGTCTGACGACAAGGCCAATCGCCTCTTCTGGCGTAGGTACTTCTACATCAGAACGGAGCACCTGGTGTCTAACCCTGAAGGATTCCCGGAAAGATGGAACCCAGAACGTGAGTACCTTTATTTGCAGAATTCATGACTGTTCGTGACCTTGACAATTCGGCCACTGTGATTTCTTTTTTTTTTTTTTTTTTTTTTGTAGCGAGGGCTTCTCCACCCCAGTTTATTGACAGTATTAAATCGTGGGTGGAAAGATTGATACCTTATGCGGAGGAATGCCGTACCTGGGCTGCATTTCTTCAACAGTACGGCCCGTCAGGTAATTCTTCGGCCTTGGTTTGGAAGCTCCCTTAGGTTTTGTTACCTGACTCATTCGTGTTGGCAGGTCGGAGTGCCCCCAAGAAGAAGAAGGCCGTTGTTACCTCGCCTAGGGCGGAGACCGACTCTGATGACGGAGACATACCCTGCGGCTCGTTCAATGATGGCGCTCCAGAGGTTCCTCAGCAAGAGGTTGCGCCTATGGCGGCGTCCGCAAGTGAAGCGACTCCTTCAATGCCGTCCCCGCGGCCTACGGAGGAGACTTCTGAAGGTGAGGAGCCGCCAGAGAGAAAGAGACGGCGGTTGATAACGGGCAAGGGGATAGCGACTGAAGACGAGAGGGTCAGTGAACCCCGTCAAGTGTCGAGGCCGGTTTTCATGGCCGATGCTATCCGTTCCGGGAGCTCGGTTCCCCAAAGGAGTGCTGTTGCCGACGCCAGCCCAGCCCGTGTTACGGAGAGCAGTTCGTCGGCTGCTGTTGGAGAAGTGGGCGATGGTGCCGAGAGGGCGGA